CTGCGGGGGTGACGGAGTGCGGGCTGGTGTGGTGGTAGCAATTGGGTGTGGTTGGTGGCAGGTGGGTGGCGGATGGCGGGTAGGTGGCGGGTGGTGGTGGTGTGGGATGGGTGGGTGACGGTGGTGGGTGGTAGCGAGTGGGTGGTGGTGGCGGGTAGTGGGTGTGGTGGCAGGTGGGTGGCGGATGACGGGTGGTGGTGGGTGGGGGTGGGTGACGGTAGCGGTGGTGTGGTGTCGGATGGCGGGTAGTTGGTGGTAGTGGCAGGTTGGTGGGGTGACGGTGGCGGGTGATAGGTGGTAGCGAGTGGGTGGTGGTGGGTGGTGGTGGTGGTGGAGGTGGCAGGTAGGTGGCAGGTAGCTTGGTGGTGGTGGTGGTAGGTGTTGGATGGTGTGGCAAGTGGGTGGTGAGTGGGGTGCAAGTACATGGCGGGTGGTGGATGGTAGTGGCGGGTGACGGTGGGATGGCAGATGGGTGGTGGGTGGTGGTGGTGGCGAGAGGTGGGTGGTGTGGTGGCGAGTGGGTGGAGGTGGGTGGTGGTTGTGGTGACGGGTGTGGCATGTAGCTGTGTGGTGAGTGGTGGTGAGAGGTGGTAGTGGGTGGTGGTGGCGGAAGACCGTGGTGGAAAATGATGACGGGTGGTGGCTAGTGTTGAGTGGTAAAAAAAAAAAAACTGAAAACTCAAATGGAAACACATTTTTTGGCAAAATTTATTAAACTGAGACCACTAATTTATAAATCAAAAATTTACCAAACAAATTTTATTTGAGTTTTTTAAAATTTTTTGTAAATATAAATAGAAAACTGAAAACGTAAGTGTTATTAAACGACAACACTTTTAAAACTATTTTCAATAACTTTATCTTTCATAAAATAACTTGAAATTCATTTCAAAACAAAAATCAAAGAGAGCATAAAACATCCTAAATTTTAAAATTATTTCAAAATATAAAACTAGAGTTTATGAAAGAGGCAGTTTTACTGAGCTTGAATTCAACTCGATTCGTTAATAAATTTGACTAGGACCGATACGATTTTTTTAATATTATTTAATAAAAAATATTATTTATATGATTTAATATATATAAATATATTTATATTATTATTTATAATTTAAATAAAATTAAACAAATTACACTATTCGAGTTTAACTCGATTTATTATATGAATAACTCGATTGATTTCCACCTTTACTTAACAAATAAATTTTATAAATTATTTTTTAAAATTATTTTACATTTGATCAATCAAACAGGGTTTTGTTTTTGATGGTTTTTTCCCGAGTCCTGATATATAAAAGGTGAAACGGATAGAGCAATGCATTTCTCTCTCCTCAATCCATCGTTTCCAAATCCATTCACAGCCCTTTGCCCAGCCCCCTTGTTCACGACTTTCCCTGTTTCACACAGATCTCACTGTATCTCTCTCTCTCTCTCTCTCTCCTCTCTCTCTCTCTCTCTCTATATATATATTATATCTATATCTTCAATACACACGCACACACACTGTTTCTTCGAGCTTCACAAGTTGATCTCACTCCAATTCTCCGTAATGACGACGCTCTGACGATGCTAAAGACATCGAACTACTCTACGAATACGGCGAGCGATTGAGCGAGGTCAAAGGACAAGTCTCAGTTCCTAATTTGTCCCCCCTCTAATTCAATTTTTTTTAGGTTTTGTTTCTTCAATTTCATTTGTTGTGGTTTTGTTGTTTGTTAATTTGCAATATTATATATATATATTTTGAATTTTAACAGCTGTAGATGATTATCGAAGCATCATTAAGGCTTGTCAAAAGCAAGAGCATCAAGGCCAAGCAGTTATCTGCTCAGCTCATTCCAGATACTTCAAGTTCTTCCCTGAACCTGTCCGACTTGGCTGTTGATTCCCATATCGATTTGTGTGAGGCAGAGGAGCTTGGGGTTAGTCACTGCACATTTATATATATATATATATATTCTTAATTATTATTTTTATCTCTCTCTTTTGCTTGAGAAGCCTTTTACCAAGATGTAATATGTATTTTTGTACTTCATTTCTATTTGTATTCAAGTTGTAAAGCTATGTAAAGATGTATGCCATTTCATTTGACTTATGCACTGCTCTTATGGACTACTTGTATTTTAGATTATTGCTTCCGCACTTGTGAGCCCCCTATATCTATATTCTGATTGTGTGTGAATTTTGAAAGTTGGCCTTTCGTAATCTCGGATTACTGGCCATCACGGCACCAAACTACTAGGGGTGGTTTGGGGTCGTGACAGTGGTGGTGGTGGTAGATAGGTGGTGGGTGGTGGTGTCGGGTGGGTGGCAGATGGGTGGTGGGTGGTGGTGGTGGCGAGAGGTGGGTGGTGGTGGCGAGTGGGTGGTAGGTGGGTGGTGGTTGGTGGTGACGGGTGGTGGCATGTAGCTGGTGAGTGGTGGTGAGAGGTGGTAGTGGGTGGTGGTGGCGGAAGACGGTGGTGGAAAATGATGACGGGTGGTGGCTAGTGTTGAGTGGTAAAAAAAAAAAAACTGAAAACTCAAAATGGAAACACATTTTTTGGCAAAATTTATAAACTGAGACCACTAATTTATAAATCAAAAATTTTACCAAACAAATTTTTATTTGAGTTTTTTAAAATTTTTGTAAATATAAATAGAAAACTGAAAACGTAAGTGTTATTAAACGACACAACTTTTAAAACTATTTTCAATAACTTTATCTTTCATAAAATAACTTGAAATTCATTTCAAAAACAAAATCAAAGAGAGCATAAAACATCCTAAATTTTAAAATTATTTTCAAAATATAAAACTAGAGTTATAAACGAGGCAAGCTTTACTGAGCTTGAATTCAACTCGATTCGTTAATAAATTTGACTAGGACCGATACGATTTTTTTAATATTATTTAAGTAAAAAATATTATTTATATGATTTAATATATATAAATATATTTATATTATTATTTATATATTTAAATAAAATTAAACAAATTACACATATTCGAGTTTGAACTCGATTTATTTATATGAATAACTCGATTGATTTCCACCTTTACTTAACTAAATAAATTTTATAAATTATTTTTTAAAATTATTTTACATGTTGAATCAATCAAACACGGGTTTTGTTTTTGATGGTTTTTCCCGAGTCCTGATATATAAAGAGGTGAAACGGATAGAGCAATGCATTTTCTCTCTCCTCAATCCATCGTTTCCAAAAATCCATTCACAGCCCTTTGCCCAGCCCCCTTGTTCACGACTTTCCCTGTTTCACACAGATCTCACTGTATCTCTCTCTCTCTCTCTCTCTCTCTCTCTCTCTCTCTCTCTCTATATATATATATATCTATATCTTCATACACACGCACACACACTGTTTCTTCGAGCTTCACAAGTTGATCTCACTCCAATTCTCGTAATGACCGACGCCTCTGACGATGCTAAAGACATCGAACTACTCTACGAATACGGCGAGCGATTGAGCGAGGTCAAAGACAAGTCTCAGGTTCCTAATTTGTCCCCCACTCTAATTCAATTTTTTAGGGTTTTGTTCTTCAATTTCAATTTGTTGTGGTTTTGTTGTTTGTTAATTTGCAATATATATATATATATTTTGAATTTTAACAGCATGTAGATGATTATCGAAGCATCATTAAGGCTGTCAAAAGCAAGAGCATCAAGGCCAAGCAGTTATCTGCTCAGCTCATTCCCAGATACTTCAAGTTCTTCCCTGAACTGTCCGACTTGGCTGTTGATTCCCATATCGATTTGTGTGAGGCAGAGGAGCTTGGGGTTAGTCACTGCACATTATATATATATATATATATTCTTAATTATTATTTTTTTAATAGCACAATTTGTTGGAGCTAAATCAATTTAAAACGGGTCTTGCAAAGTTGCAAAATTGAGGCAATTTGGTGACTAAAATGATTAGCTAATTAGACTTGAGTTTTCGGCTATGTCTGATGAGTATAGGCTTCATATTGGCTCACTTACTTGTGGGTTACAGTTTTATCTTGGGGGCATTTATTTGGTTTCTTAGGGTTTCTGTCTAGGCATATTACTTACAAGAGTGACCAAAGTTTTAAAAGGCGTTAAACGCAATCGAGGATTTAGTTTTTAGGCAATATTCCCCCATCAGTTGTGCATCTCAGTATGAGGCATACGCCTCAAGTGCACCTTGTACAACTTTTCTGTATAACAGGAGTACACATGTGGAGAGCGCTTCTCTTGGGATTTTGTTAAAATTAGTCTAATTCATGGTTTAAATATAAAAAAGAACATATTTTGTAACAACATTCCATGGGAAAAATCAATGAACTGCCAAAAAAGGAAAAAAAAAAAAAAAAAAACTCCAGCTAAGGATCAATGGGAAGTTTGATAACTTATGCTAATATGTTGATTTCACCTGGGAAAATTTCTTTCTTTGTAATGAAATTCTCTATGCCTTGAGAAAAGCCCCGAAGCTTATGTTTCACCTCATGAAGGGTAAAATGCCTCGCGTTACGCATTTGTCTTTAAAAACTTTGGGTAATAATAAAAAGTAGAAAATGAATGTATTTGTGGAAGTTAGAAGTGTCATTAATTGAAAAACCTGATGAGTGGAAGCTATTGAAGATGATTTATCCACATGAAACGCAGACCCACCCATTGATGTGCTAATATAGATGCACAGATTGATCTAAGTTGAAAGCTGTGTTACATGGGCTCTTCTATTTCTCTCACAATACCTTCACAATACCTGTGTCTATCGGATATGACACGGGTAAGGGTGTGGGATATGTGTGTAACACTTGTACCCAATTTAGATACTCAGATCCTTTAATTTGTTACAATATATGAGAAGAAGAAACTCACATTTGCTAGTAAAGTAATATTTTTAGCCTCTCACATTAATTAGATATAAAAATTTCATATTTTTCCTGAATTCTATTTAATTTCAAGTATATTTTGATATAATTTACAACATTTCATTTGAAAATATTATATAATATACAATATATATGCATATATGACACGTCTCCTTACCCATATCCAATTTTGGATACGTATCTCAAGATCTTAAGATTAAAATTTATGAGAGTCTGACGCTTGGATACACACCCGCACCCGATACTTGTACCCGAGTCCATGTAACATATGAAAGTTGTGTTACATGGACTTGTCGGTTTAGGGCAGAGTACCCGTGTCGACACGACACGGGTGCAGGTGTGAGATCTGTGTCGGACTCGACCTGATTTTCTCGGACACGGCTGACATGAGAGAAGAGTGAAGAAGGATTAAACTTGCAGTGGTAGTAGGACCTTAGTCTCGATTTGATGCAAGAAGGAGCTAATGCGAGAGACGTGAATCTGATGCAAGGAGTTGATCGCGATCTTGATCTCATCCTCACTCTCGATCTCTATCGTCTTCTCTCCCTCTTGATCTCGATCTCATCTTCTCTCCCCCTCGATCTTGATCTCGATCTTGATCTTGTCTTCTCTCGATCGATTAATCTCAATCTCATCTTCTCTCTCGATCGATTGTTCTCTCTCTCTATCGAATCTTCTCTCTCTCAGTTGATCCTCTTCACTATTTGTCTGTCTGTGTTTCTTCTCTCTCTCTCTCTCTCTCTCTCTCTCCTTCTTCGCTATAATTGTATTACACTGCATTTCGGAAAATTTTATTATTCTTTTCATGTTAGAAAATTGATTTATACTCCTTTTGTTCAGTTTTGATTGGTAAAAAGTTTCAAAGTATTACAGTGAATTTTTGTAAGTGGTACAATATGTATATATCTTTTGATTTTTTATTTTATTTTATTTTGTTTTGATTTTTGATTTTTGATTTTTTTAGTTTAAAAAAATTCATCTCTTTGAGAGTTACTGTGCCATTCACCAAGTCATCATTTTGAAGGACATTATTGGTGTAGGTATTTTTCTGTCAATTTAAGGTGCCCTTATTTTATGCTTTTGAATGTAACGATGCATGCTGTTAAGCTTACTCTTGGTCTTAATTAATCAATAGTAGATGGTTGAATCAATTAATTATTGCATTAGAATGCTATAGACATAAATCTCTAGTTATGTTTTTTTTTTCTTCCTGTTATTATTGATACATTGCACTTGATTTGAGCCTTGAAAGTTTTGTTGTTCACTACAATTACAGGTTAGGGTGCAGGCAATTCGCGGACTTCCCCTTTTCTGCAAGGATACACCAGAGCATCTTTCTAAAATCGTAGATATTCTTGCACAACTCCTTACAGCTGGTAAATTTAGTGTTTCAGGCTGTGCTGTTGAGGATATGTACTTTACTATGTTACAGATTTAATCCTGAGTTTTCTTGATTCTTCTAGAAGAAAATGTGGAGCGTGATGCAGTGCATAAAGCCCTTATGTCTTTATTGAGGCAGGATGTGAAAGGTAATGAATTTATTTCTTCAAACTGGTGGAATGTAATGATTGTGTGAATATTTATTTACAAAGAATGGATACGGATATCGTCTGAAGTAGCGTCATTGATTGCATGAAGATTTTCTTGGTGTCAATTAGTGCCATGCTTGCATTGTTTCTATGTTGTGTAATATGCATATGCAATATGCAGCAGAGCACAATTGCTGCATTACAAAATAAGAATATTAGGTTGCATTTCGATTGAGATTTTAAAATTGAGTGGTTTTGGTTTTAATCTTTTGCGAATAAAGGCTTAGATTTGGATTGTCAACAAGAAGTTTGAATGATTTTGAAAGCCTTTTTGTAAGTTGATTTGAAATGACATGATGAAAGGAAATTATTTCAAACCAATCTTAAGAATAATTCTAGACTTTAGTTGTACAAGGACCCTATGTAGTATCCTTAGTACCTTTCGGGGTTATCCTTCTTAGGTCTCCTAATCCAATACCACTCAACTGACCCTTCTATGTAAGTGTTTGTGAATTTGAATGCCAAAATCTTCATTTCTAATCCATTCAATCTTAACGATAAAGTTAAAGCAATTGTAAAATAGGAATATTGGTAATTAATCTTGTAGATGTCATAATAATTCTATATTTGATTGGCATGCAAATCTTGTATATCTTGATGCCGTAATAATTAATCTTGTAGAATATTGAACTTGTCTTAATGTATATCTTGCTTCTATAAGCCTCATCAATGAGATGGGTGATTAAGATGTGAATATTGTTAATTTTTTGGGAGAGGACCTCTCTCAATGTGGTGCATTTCCTAGTGGTAAAACATCACATGGGATGTTTACTGGAAATACCAATTGGGAGGTCATGGGTTGGATTAATTTCTATATGGAATTGACGTATGTTACATGGGGGTACAAATATTGGGTGCTAGTGTGAGTCCAATCATTAGACCTTCCTAAACTTAAGTTCTAGGATATTTTGGGGTATGTATTCAAAAGTTGGGTATGGGTACAGGGACATATCTTGAACACAATGTATCCAAAAGTTGGGTATGCGTACATTTCTTGAACACATATATATTGCATATAGTATAATATTATTAAATAAGATCGTGCAAATTATTTAGAAATGTATTTAAAATTAAATAAGATTTATAAAAAATATGAAATTTTTATTCATGTGAGAGACATATCTTACACCCTTACCCTTGTCATATCCGATGAGCATGGTTCTATGGGAAAAATAGAAGAGACTTCATAACACTAGAACTAACATATGTATGTTGATGAATTGCCATTAAGTCCTTAAGAGGGTTGACTTCAATGAAGGTGTTTCAAATAACGTATGTTCTTTATTATGGAAAAGTAAAATTCCCCTGTTTTGCATCTATAGAAAATTCAAATAGCTTTTGAACTTGTTTACAACTTTTGACCATGATTATTAGTTCTATGAAGTATGGATTTTATTTTGTGCTTCTTTTTGTTACGTAAACTTGGAATAGTTATCAAGAGTCAAAATTATGACATAGCTCAAGAATTGATAGGGTCTTGGATTCATGCTTTAAAAAACAATAAACCAAGACTATTATCAAAGAACAATGTTGAGTTCCATAACTCCCTAGCCACCTCATAGTGAAGGAGGAGGTTGTTGACACTCCCCCAACTTGCTTACACAAACATCAATGTTGCACCCAAAATTTTCTCTGTTTCTCAAATTAACAATAAGAATTACCTTATGAGTTGCAAACCATAATTCCTTTGTGAACTCCCACATTATAGGCTTCTCTAACTATTCTAGTGGACAAATCCTCCCATTCGTTCCCATATTCTCCCGCCTCCACTCCACTCCACCCTCCTCCAAAAACTATTCCTTTCAATAGCGAACCTCCGCAACCATTTACCCAACAATGCCTCACCTCCCACTTTCAAATGCCAAACCCATCACTTTGAATGAGAAGCGCACCACCTCTTAATCAAGAAGATCGTATTTTAATCTCTCCTTGATAGCCTCTCCCATAAAAAGTCCTTTTGAAGCTTATCAAACCTCCACACCACAAACTTGGGAATCATGAACAATGACATAAAGTATGTGGGCAAGGTAGCCAAGTATTGCCCGTTGGAGTGGGGGGCTGCCGCGGGGAAGTCAAAGGTTGGCTTGGGAAGGTACTCTTTTATGTGGGATGTGCCATATAGAGAGGGGGAGAAATAAGATATCCTTTGAAAGGATGGAGCTTCTTATTCATAGTTTGAAGGGGTTGTTTCTTATTACCTTATTATTATTATTATTTTTTTTGGGCTTAGGGAGGAATCCCTGTTTCTTTCTTTCTTCCTTTATTTATTTATTTTTCCTTTATGTGGATTTTTGGGGGAGTGGTATGTCTCTACAGATATATAGGTTTATAGGTGTTTCTCTTTTGTACTTTGCATGTGCAGAGTTTGTGCTCTCTTTTTTGGCATGAATTTAATGATAATACTTGTAAAAAACGAAAAGAAGAACAAAGTTGAGTTGTCCTTTCTTGGTAGAGTAATTTGGCTGTTATTTTTTCTTTAGGTGCAAATGAAGTGATTAAACATTTGCATATAGTATCACTGTTGGTATGAATAAGTGCATACCACACTGTTAACCGGACATCCACTACCAGGCTCTGTGCGCTTTAGTATTGTGATTATATGCATTTATCATTGGCTTTATGGTTTGATTATTGTTAATATTTGTTCAGCATGTTTTTGTTTCCTTTGAAATTTTCTTTTAATTCAATTTAAGTTTTTTTTCCCCCCGTCTTTTTTTTAATGATTCCCTTGTAGCTATGACCAATGGCTTAGCTTTTTATCTATCGAAAACCCAACAATGGCTTTGTTTTTGCAGCTTCTTTGACAGCCTTATTTAAGCACATTGAGAGTGTTGATGAGCCAAGCACAGATGAAAATCTTCGTGAGAGGACACTATGCTTTATAAGAGATAAGGTGAGAAACCAACACATGTATTTGCTGATTACATCATTTCGTTCTTAACCATATTGAGGACTAACCAATTTTACTGCAGGTTTTTCCTCTTAAAGCTGAGCTCTTGAAGCCTCAGGAGCAAATGGAGAGGCATATAACTGATCTGATTAAAAAAGTGAGATAATGATTTGCTTCTCTGTATGCAGTTGTGTTTCTCACCATTTTTATCCTGTCACTCTCTTACTTTGATTTGATGTTATTGCATATAAAATGATTGTCTTAGATTTTGCTTCGATAGTCTACTAGAAGATGCATTATATTTTTGTTGACTGTTATTGCAGAGTTTGCAAGATGTGACAGGAGCTGAATTTAAAATGTTTATGGATTTCTTGAAAAGTTTGAGCATATTTGGAGAGAAAGCCCCTGCAGAGCGTGTGCAAGAACTCATTGAAATTATTGAAGGTCAAGCTGATCTAGATGCACAGTTCAATGTAAGTACTTGCCTTGTTGTATTATGTTTAGGAAATTGTTTGTTTCATCTTTGATTTGAAAATGACACTTCACTAAGTTGTCTGGTTAAAGTTTTCAACTTAGATGTTACTAAGGTGGATCTATTTTACAGTTAAGGGGCCTTCGTAGGTGGTCTATAAATGTTAACTCTTGAGATCTTTTACAGTTTGATTACATGCATATGAAGTATTGGATTTATTTGCTTACCATGATGTAATTTTAGGTTCTGCTAGGGATTTGAAATGCATGGATTTGAGATCGATCAATCATTTAAGGAGAATAACTAAAATTTCGATTTGATAATTCATCCATGAATTTCAAGATTGTATTAATTAGTTTTATCATGATGGATTTGAAATAACTGTATTAGAGTAGTTATTTGAAATCATGCTAAGGTTTCTCCTTCTAGCTACCAGGAACATAATAAAATACATATATATATATTTTTTTGATCTCAGCTTATGTTCTTCTATAGTTTTTTTATCCACATATAATAGCTAGCACTTCAATATTTTTATAAAATTGAAACTCAAATGCCTTGATTTGAAATTCACATCCATCCAAATGGAACCTTTTGTGTTTGTAAATTAATGATATGTTGTAACCCCCTAAATTTTCGACAAGTAGAAGAAAAGACATAATTGTGGTGGATTTACTTCCAAACATTGGAAACTTTGGATATCATGGTGAAATAGTTCCAGTAAGTTCATTATTTATGCATTGTATCAAAAGAGGGAAGCAGTATTGTAATTGACAAAAAAAATTGCACTAGAAGTTTAGAACATATATTGCCATGTTGAAATTTAGTGGTATTTACTTTATGTTGTGTGATATAAGACACATCTTTCTTATTGAATTTTTGAACTCTTGGACAATTGCACTGTTTTTTGAGGGGCAAAATTCTGCATAATATCTAGTACTAGTTCATGTTAAGAGGTTTGGTGCACAGAGATTCCATCCAAGGTGGCATTTTTTGTGGAGAGTGGTCACGTGTAGAGCTATCCTCGATGAGTAATAATTAGTGACTAGGGGAAAAATGATTTTGAATAGCTCTGTATATGCAAGAGGGCAGAGGCAATGATATAACTGTTTCATTTATTATGGCCATAGAGCTATGTTGTCTTATCATTTATTTATTTATTTATTTCTCTTTGGAGTGTTTTGGAGGATGCTGAGATCTGTTCTGAAAGTTACTGTGGATTGAATAGTAGTTTTATCTGAACAAGAAAAACTTCTGCTCGGAGGGCAGTCCCTCTGTCTCCTTAGGTGCATTTGGGAAGAGAGGATCAACTACATGTCCAACAGGGTGGTTTTACCTGTGCCTAAAGTCCGATCGATTTTGTTGAATATTTGTCCTTTTGGCTTTGATAGAGAGTTTCTCCTTTTTGTATATGATGTAGGTTCTTTAGATATGTGTACCTGTTTTAAGTTTCTTATCAAAGTTTTTTTTTTTAAAAATAGCATAGCCCTTTTAGAGTTCAGGTGGCGGTTTTGTTAAACTCTTCCGTACTAGCGTGTAGGGCTGTACATGGGTCGGGGCGGTTCGAGTTTACAAGTGGAACCATGACTCGAACTGACTCTTTCGGGTTTCAGATCTTAGTAGCAGGAATCATCGGAATGGGAGACGATTCTCGTCTAGAATCGCGATTCAGCGATTCGTAGCAAGATTCGTGATAGAATCACGTCTCCGTTGAGATTGAATTGCGGATCTAACTAGATGGGAGCGATGGCGACACAGAAGGGGGGAGAGAGAGAGAGAGAGAGAGAGACCAGGCTGTGAAGAAGCAGCAGCTGCTGCTAGGGTTATGCTGCGAAGAAGAAGCAGACCAGGCTGCGAAGAAGCATGTGAAGAAGAAGCAGCAGCTGCTAGGGTTGGGAATTATAAACATAAGAGTTGGGCTTGGGATTCTTATTGGGCTTGGGATTTTTTTTTTAGACTCATACAAACATTTGTATGGGCTTGTAAGCTATAAACATAAGAGTTGGGCTTGGGAATTTTTATTGGGCTTGGGATTTTTTTTAGACCCATACAAACATTTGTTTGGGCTTGTGAGCTGTTTTATTTATTGTTTGGGTTACTAGATGATTTGTTTGCATCATAAATAGGAGAGTTGGGCTTGGGATTGTTTTTCTTCTCCTCTCCCTCTCTTCTTTTATTTTATTTTTGTAAGAAAATAAATAAAACAAATAATTTTTAACAAAAACATTTTAAAATAAATAGATAAAAAAATAATACAAATATTTTAGAATAAATGAAAAAAATCTAATAAAAGTATATAATTACAATATTTTATCATATGATTTTTTATAGTACTTTTTTTTTAAAAAAAATTATAACATATATTTTCATTATCATTAGAGGAAAAAAATATATAATCTTACAATATATTTTTATATATTATATTATTTAATATATATATACGAACGCTCCCTACCAGCGCTTCTTGAAATGTCTACGATTTCCCGATTCCGATCCCGATCCCGCTTGCGCTCCCGCTTCCGCTTCCGCTTCGTGCAACTAAGTTTCAGATCTCACCAGCCGTCATCGACTGACTTTTTGTTTGGAGCCGACTGCCTTTCTTGTTCGGTTTCGGACGGGTTTCAGACGGTTTTGAATATATGGTTATCATCTTCCCCTTTTACTTAAAACCCTAGCATATATACATATATATATATACACACACACATAAATATGTTATAGAAAAAAGATTTAAAGAAAAAATAGAGAGATTAAATTGGGAAGCTACATAGTTATATTGCTGTGGACTTGTCCATCTTACAATGCCTACCACCGCGAGCTGCTCCATCTTGCAACGATCGGCGTCCCGTTTTTTGCTTGAGCCCAGTTGGCATGGACGACACAAGTAAGATCTTAATTAGATTTGAGAACTTTGTGTCCAAGAGTGAGAGACAATGAGATAAGAGGGATGATGAGAGTAGAAAATGTTAAAAAATGTGGTGAGGAACTTTAGGGGTTTGAGAAAGGAATATGTGGTGAGAAACTTTATTTTCAGAGATGAAGAGAGAAGGAGAGAGAGAGAGAGTTGGTGATACAATTGATAGGCTGAGTGTAAGGTAAGGTTTCTTTGTCTTTGTCTTGGGAAGATAAGCGGTGGAGAGAGAGAGAGAGAGAGAGAGCTGAGTACATAGAGAAGTGAGTTGTCTACCTAGAGATATGACTGCCTTGGGAAGATGAAAGTCTTTCCTGGGAAAAATAAAGACTAATCAATCAAACATTAATAATATTTTTTATATATTGGTCGGGTCGGGTTAACCGAATATTATATTGTCAAACCCGGTACTCGACCGAAATTTGAAAAAAATTCATACATTTCACTCTCAGCCGACCATGCTCCTCAGCAAAACCGTCCGTGGGTGATTCGGGTCGGTTGGTTCGGATCGGATTCGTTGGGTAATTGGTTGTTTGAACACCCCTACTGGCATGTCCTAGGGTTCCATCCCCTTCGACATATTTATATTATTTTTATTCTGTCAATAAGGAAAAACAAAAAACAAAAAATGTGGTTTCTTGTCTTTTCTTTTCGAAAGATTCTTTTGGGTGTGATCTCATAGACTTCTATTACTCATTAAAAAAAAAGAAGTGATCTCATAGACTTCCTTTATGATGTTGTAGTTACTATGTTACTACATTCTTTATTAGAATGGCTTTCATAATGCAGGTTTCAGATGGGGACCACATTGATAGATTGATATCATGCCTGTTCATGGCTCTTCCCTTTTTTATGGTACAGGCTATGTTTATATGGGTTTTTTCCTCATTCTGATCAAATAGCAGATTTTTTCTGGTAGACTACTGAACCCCTCTTTTTTGCACACAGCGGGGCGCATTGAATAGCAAGTTTCTCAACTATTTAAACAAGCATATTTTGCCTGTTTTTGATGAGGTAACATCACACCTTCCTGTTCTTAATAGTTTATTCGATTAAGTTATTTGCCTTTTCTAGTATTCTTGTATTTGGTATCCATTTTCTGGTTTTACAGTTCTCAATACAATTTGATTATTTATTCTGTTGCTTGAAAAGTAAAATTAGGGTCATCTCCAAAATCTGAAGCCCCTAATGAAAAGATGCTGGTCAAAACTTTGATATCTTAAATGCTTCTAACATCTTGCTTGGTTCATTCTTCTCCTCCTCTTCTATTCTTCTTTTTCCTATTTGGGTTAATAGGGTTTCTTTATCGCATGCTTTATGTGGTCATATGATTCAATAACTATGGATGTTTTTTTCAGATTTAGGAGATCTCTCTCTCTCTCTCTCTCTCACACACACACACACACACACACACAAACACACACACACACACAAACACACATTTCCGCAGTTTCTTTTGTACTTGTGGAAATTGATACTGCAACAGGGCATACTTGTGCCCTTTTAATTGACCTTATGTTGTTAGTAGTGCTCAAGATCTTTGAGGTGCTTATATGAAATGCACACACAATGCTTTATCTGGTTACCACAAGGACCCTGTGATGCCTGATACCATGTTTACATTTAGTTGCATGAAAATTTTAAGTGTATTAATTTATGTGCTGGATGCATGATGACCGCTAACTTCCCATGGATTTTTTTAACGCAGTATTCAACACTTTATGTTATTGCCTATGCTACATGGACTCAGGTACGGTTGTCAGGTGTGGGTGCTTGACACATCAAACTTCAAATTTCAGGATACGTAGACTTGGCCAAAAAGGATCTAAAAATTAGATATGGATACAGGGATACGTTGGCTAATTGAAAAGATAATAATTATATATAAAAATAAAATTTGTTCATGATATATCATATTATATATGAACAATAATTATATATATATATGTTCCAAAACAGAAAGATTGGATCTGTACCTGTACCCTTACCCCTGTTGGGTCATGTCGACATGGGTACTTCAACAAAACTGAAGAGTCCATGTAAAATAGGTTATTGCGATCAGAAAACCTCAGCTCATACATGTATGATGCATTATGCATGCTATCATTTTATACTGCTGGGTCAAAACAAATGTACACATGTAGTTGAACCTATCAAATCATTTTGGTATGCATTGGCGTTTTTGATTGTTTGTTTTGAGAGTTACTGATTTGACACTCTATATCCATGTCAAATTCCACCCAATTATAGGCATGTCTGCATCATAGTTATGCACAAAATTCTGATCAGTTGTTTTAGTTTTCCCCTCACCTTGAATATGAATATGTGAAAATTGCTTAGTTGTTCTTGCTGCAATGTTTCTTATGAACTGGAAAAAGAGAAATCGATTAAATTTCCTGCATTCAAAATATTATTTAAATTTGGTTCAGGCCTGCTACATCAATTTTTTTTTTTGTGTGTGTTAATTTCAGGCACCCAATATGAATACAAGTCATATGGTTTTCATGTGATATGTTTTACCTATAATCAGCTTCAGTCTATGTTTAGATATTGTATACCTGATATCAATCACCAAAAAGTATATTTGAATCAGTTTGGCCTCCTGCTGAGAAAGCATTCATTTTTTAGTTCATTTCTCAAAAAATTTCAATTGTTACGCACAAGAAATAGGCCAATTCAGCAGCTTTTTTGTTCAATTTCTTTTGGAGTAAAATTCTTAGCTCAAAGGAAAATCTTTGGGCATTTCATTTATTGAGCGGTTTTTGTTTGGGCATTTCAAAGGAAAATATTTTTGTTTGTCTCGTTTAAAATCTATTTGGATCTGTATTGATTCAAACACTGTACCTAGGGATAGGGATAGAGGAAGAAGAAAAAATAAAAACGGAAAGTGTTCAATTGGAACATATAGTTAAAGAAGTATGCTTCAAGCAGGTTTTATTTACTTTGTGCAAGTTGGCCCTTACCAACCATACAGACCAGAGGCTTTGCTGTGATGTATGGTTCTTGGGAATTTGTAGAACTTGTAGGAAAGGCTTAATAGAGAAAAAAAACAGGATTTTATCTCAATTTTGTCCTAATAGTCCCTTAACCATTTTCTTTTTTCTTTTCTTTCCTAATCTTCTTTTTTCAAATTTAATATTTCAATCTGGGATCAGTTTGTTTGCACAATAAAGGACGGTATTTCATAAAGTTGGGTAATCACATTATGTCTGGAATGGTAATTACATTCACGAGTTTACTGACTTGGCTTCTTGAATATTATGTTAATTCGTCTGTGGGGGTGGTGGGCTATTACTTGGTCTGATGTCTGGAGCTTGAGCCAACCATGACAGCATCCCATGTTGATTGGACCAGCACTAGGAAATTTATAGAAAATATATTTTCACATGAGTACATAACTAAATTTGTTCAAAGACCGTTCAGAAATCTAGTAAAAATTATGTGAAAATCAATTAAAGGTGACAGGCAGTAAGCCTTTAACTGAACACCACCGCTCACAAACTGAGGGACTTTTTCTTCAGAAGTTCTTGAAATAGCGAATGTTGCATTCCCCGTTCATTTTCAAGTATCTGATAGTTTAATGGAAAACGGATTCTGCTTTTTCCGTAGACTTCAAGAGAACATTCCTCCAACGTCAGATTATGACTTCCTGAGTTATGAGAGTCGTCTTGGAATGCAAGCTAATAGTAGCTTTGTTTTGAAGTTGGATTTCTGTCCCACTCCATACTAACTATAGTTTTGCCTCTCAGCTTCCTGAAGAACGCAAAGTAGACTTGCTCAAGAACCTTGCAGAAAGTTCACCTTAGTTTGGACGCCACAGGATTCACGTCAGATTCTTCCCTCTGTTGTCCAGCTCTTAAAGGTAATGTATAGTAAACAACCAACAATGATGTGCATACTGCTCTTTTCATTGTTCATCTCTTAAAGGTACACATGTTACGTACAGTGGCCATATAAATTGTGTTATATTAAGGCATGCCAGCAAGTTTTGTGTTTTTCTTTTATGAATCTTTATGTCCTTGATCTCTTTTCATTATAATTTATATATAAACATTTATCCTTTCCTAGATCTATGCCCATTATAATTTATGTTTCATCTTCATCTATCAATGCTTCACTTTTTTGTCTTTTTTTGTTTGTTATTATTTAAGGCTAGTTTTTGAGTGTTAAGAAATATGAAACCTTTTTGCCTATAAATTTATATATTTTAATTTACTCTTGTCTCATCTATTTTTTCTTTCCAGAAATACATGCCTCGGAGAAAATCTGGAGAAGAGACTAACTTTACTTATGTGGAGTGCTTGTTGTACACATTTCACCATTTAGCTCATAAGGTTGTAATATCCAACAATCCTACTCTCCTGCATATTTCATACATGTCTTTCCTGTTCAATGCTTAATTGCTATTTATCATTGTACAGGCTCCGAATGCCACTAATAGTTTATGTGGTTACAAGATAGTAACCGGCCAACCATCTGATAGGCTTGGGGAAGACTTCTCAGAGTATTACAAAGATTTCACTGAGAGGTGATTTGTTTGTTTAAGCTCTTTATTTTCTTTATGTTTTCAGATGTATTTTCTGCTGTGAATATTCAGGGACTCTATGCTAACCTTGCTTGTGTCATAGACTGTTGATGGATTATGGACGAATATAACAAGAAAAAAGAACTGGAATAATTTCTAGTTTAGTCCATGTTAAATATTAAAATAAATGCCTTGCAGTTCTTTAACCCATTTATAGAGAAATGGCTTAAACAAAATGATATTAACATATGTAACAAAGTAAAAATATGTCCCACTCAAATAGAGTTGGCTGCATGAATCATTTTTTTGTCATTCTTTTTTGTTCACAACTATATTATGCTTAGTTAAATTTAATAAATTCATCTCTCTTTTTACTGCCGCATCTTATGTCAATTTAGGTCTTTCCCTCCCGCTAACATTTCATTTATGGTGATCATGTCACTCTTCCTTACTGTTGCATCTATAGATCTTGGTTGTACATGACCTAACCATCTACTCTTAGATTTTAATCCTCCTGCCTGAAACATGCTTCTAGATAATCACATCATCTGTTTTGTGTAATATCTTGATCTGACACTTCTATTAAGTCATCATTTGACTCCATCATGTGTCATCATCTGGAATTTCATAGTTGGTTGAGTTGTTTAGATTCTTTACTGCCCCAGATGGGAGGTGAAACACTTTTGCTAGTCAGCTTGCATTCGTGCAGGAACAATTGGTAATTTAAGAAAATATGCTCCAAAGTCAATTATCACTGTGGAATGTCTACATCCATACATATTTTTCTAGTTTGAAAACTGAATATTCTACAATTTTTGGCATAGAAAATACCATCCACTTCATCCTCATCACAAATAAGTTATATACTGATATTTTGTCAAAGAACAAATATGTTGTGGAAGACATGTAACAAACCAGTCTTAATTGGTTTGCAAGAAGAGGGTTGACACATGTAGCACATGTTTTGCATTTGTAATGCTTTGCATAGCTCAATCTCCAATATTTTAAATGTTCGAAACTGGTCCTTTCATAGTTCTTTATACTTATCAATAGCCTGGTGTTTTTATATTCACACTTGTCAAAGAATATTCTTCAACTGGTGTACAAGGTTCAGAATTTCAGGGACAGCTGGAAGGACTGGTGGTGTCTTTCATGCTCATGTTACTGTCTTCTTCATTGTACTTAAATAGAAGACCTGTGTCATTGCAACTTCAAAAACTGCTTTATTGATTTCAGTACAGACAAATTTGTTGAGATTGCAAGCTGAATCCACCAGTCAGATAAATTTTGTAACTGGTGTCTTGGGGCAGTGGTAATAAGGAAGCTATTGTGGAGCGGATGCCAGGGTTCGAATCCCATTGACTATCCAAAAAAAGATAACTACAGTAACGTGATCCTGGAATTTAGGCACATGTTTAAGGTGGCCCATACTAGGATGGTAGAGCCATTTGGAGTTTTTATATTGGACTACTGGTTTGCCACAAACAAATTGTCAGTAGAATTGGAGAGGAAGCAATGCCACAGTAATGCTCCAGAGGGAAAACCAACAGGGAGGGTGAACCCAAAATTTGGAACATCTTTCAAAGTTCTATATTAAGTTTTTCTACTCATTAGTGATTCAGCATGGTAACCTTGGACATTATTAACTGCATACTCTCAGCACTCATAAATATTGGTGGTGATGGCTTTTGTTCTAAAAGTTGTGGATGCCAAACTGTGTGACGGTGCATGCTAATGCCCTCAACTAAGCAAAGCCTTTCTATTTGGCCTACTTGGGGTTGGTTGATTGGGATCCTATCTTTCCTTTCAGGTCTATTGTGTGGTAATCAAAGTGTGATGTTCTTTTTTCTTGTCCGTTGTTATCCAGCAGTCCATTGTTTTTGTGGCACCTTAAACATGTTGTTTACATTTTCTACATTCATATTTCACTTCTTCCCTTTGCTGGATATCTTTTCCTTCTCACCCCACCTTGGGATCTATCACTGATAGAACTCCTGTTACTATTCTTCTTCCCCAGTGATTTATATCAGCTGCAATATAGTAGATCTTTCATTCAAATATCTCACTATCTTTTAAAGGACAAACATTGATTCATGGGTCTTCTAGCATGAGGAATGAAACTTTGGCGAAGTAATGAGTGCAAGAATTTTTTGGGGCGTTAATGATACCCTTTGGTTGTGACCAGCTAGGGATAATGATGAGGTTTATTTAGCAAGGTTCAGGTGACTGTTAAGCTAGGGGAAAAACACAGCCCATTTTGGGATTGATTTGGTATCAGTTTCACTTTCAGTTTCCAGCCAAAAGCCTGTCCCAATATATTAACTTTTATCCTTTGCTGCCTAAATTTGATAGTTAAGGGATTAGAAGTGGTTTTTTATCCAATTCCTTTGCTGCTTGCATCTTTGCTAGCTGGTGAGTCGCCTTGCTAATCACTATTAGATTCCTTAGCTGGATTTCTGGACTCCGTAATCTCTCATGGTGGTTTTCATTGGCAAAAGGGGTCATTGCCAATTGAGGAGAAACCTGCACTTAACCCTGATCGACGTTGGAATATCATCAATCATCATGATCTCTTTACTCTGCATGATTGAAGACTCATCTGTGATCATGGTTGACAGCATTTTGTCAATTTTTATTTTTGGGAATTTGTCGTAAAGCCATTTGTTTGGTATAATTCAATGGGAGAGGAAAGAATGAAAAAGAATTAAGTATCATTCTGTCCAAGTGGAACCATCTCTACCTTGTTGGGTTTTCTATAATCAGTCGGCATCAGGATGGGGCTGTCCTGTTTCATCCTTGCACATTTACCATCTCTACTAGCCAATGCATGAAGTGATGGGTGAATGGGATTGTGAGATCTAATAAACAGTACGTTGAACATTATTTTGTTATCCTTAAGAACATGCGCATGTTTCTATCCAACTTATGCAGCAGATAGTATCAAATTGACTTGCAGTGTCCTATTATTTGATGTAGAATGCAGTTGAAAAGGGTTCTCTATTTCTAATGAGGCATCTAGGATCTGGTTTTTTTTCTCTACATTTTACTCATAGTTGCAACCATCCATTTTCCAATATTTTTTTTTAGTTTTTATTTGTAGCCAGGAGAATTTAATTGAAATTTATTCTTGGTTGACGAGACAGGTTAAGCAGCGTTGAAGAGCTAGCCAGGGCTACCATCAAGAAGTTAACTCAGGGTATGGCTGAGCACAACAAAGCAATGGCTTCCGCTAAATCTGATGAAGCAAAGGCTAGCGTTGTGAGTTTATCTTGGAGAGCTTTCTTTAATCTTTTGCCAATCTTTGGGCTTTATGTTGAATTTAACTAACAAAGATGATTTGCAATTTTGCATAATTTGCAGAAAGCTCAAAAGCAGAATACTACCACTGGACTGCGAACCTGCAATAATATTTTGGCAATGACACAGGTCTGGAATAGATTATTATTATTATTATTTTTGTTTGTAAATACTTGTTCATAGAACAGAATGGCTAAAAGGATTCATGTAGTCAACCTCACACCGACCCAACTTAAGTGGGACACAATGCTTGGTATGTAAATACTAGTTCATGCACTCAGGACTGAATTTTCTTACTTTTTTTGATAACTCAGCTGCTGCATGCAAAATCACCTTCATTCATTGGCGATAAGAGAATCAACCTTTCCTGGAAAGAAGTAGCAAAAGCTTCGGCACCTTCAACCACTACTGGTGCTGGGTATGTTGAAAACCTCTTATTCTTCTCATATAAAACGCCCCTTTTTGTTGATATGTGAGTTCCGCATGACACTTACATTTGCTGCAAGATTTTCACCTAATTGGCTGGAGCTTGTTGGGAATGGGGATCCATCTTTTATTGGAGTAATGGTGGCTTGCACCCTATAATCTTATTAGAGTTGCATTTTGTCCCTTGTAAAATTAAAAGGTTTTGCTTTAGACTTTATAATTTTGTAAAAGTTACACTTTGCATTCTTTAACTTAAAAAAAAAAAAGAAAAAAAAAAGGGGGAATATGGTAAAAACTAAGGGTGCAAAGTGCAACTTCTATAAAAAAAACTACAGGATGCAAAGTGCACCTATTTATTTATTTAGTTGTTGGATTGTTGTATGATATTACAATGAGGCCAAATGAATTACAATCTAATCAAGATGAAATACAACACATAATTAATACAAAAAACTCTCAAATGTCGGAGAGAGAAATCCCAAACAAATGCAGAGGGAATAAGACCCACATGAAAGTGGAAAGTTTTGAACCACTGACCTCCTAGTGAGGTGTGAGGGTGCACCGTTTTTTTTATAGGGTGCATAGTGCAACTTTTAATTTTATGAGGGGCATGGAGAATCTTCCACAAAAACTAATAGGCGGTAGCAAAGTGCCATTAGCCCTTATTTTTATTTGAGTTTTATAGTTGTATCAGCTTTCTTTTTGTCATTTTATTATTGTTATTATTGTTCATATTTATTGATTTTTCTGCAGAGGGAAACGTCCTGCAAGTGCCACTAATGTCATGAACAGCAATGCATCAAAAAAGGGTCGCGGTGGTGGTGGTGGTGGTTTACCGAACCAACTTGTTAACAGGGCATTTCAAGGTCTTTCGTATGGACGAGGAAGAAGTGGTGCAAGGGGTAGAGGCAGGGGCTGGGGTGGACGTGGGAGAGGAAGGAGCTACCAGTAAGCTTTGGTTAAAATCCATGGTAACACAAGGTTGAATTTTGTACCAAGTTATTATTAACCAGATGAATATGAGCACATAATTGTGGAATGTATTATTATTATGGTCTTATCTACTGTAACGAATTTTGAAAATTGTAGCAGATGAGGTTTGGATTATGGACCGGCACTAATTCTTCTCTCTGGACCTTCTCTAATTGGGATTTTGCATTGAAATTCTGTTTTCAACCTACAAAAACTTTGCTAATTCTCCTATTTGGTTTATGTGAACTAGAGCTTCATCTAATTATTCTGGAGCCTCAAGGCTTGATGCTGAGTGATTTTTCTATTCGATTTGGTGAATTGAAGCAATTCTGTTGGAAGTTCACTCTTAAGAAAGAAAAGTTCTAAATTTTATATATTTATTTATTTAATTTTTGGGAGTAAAATTCTCAGATTTTATGTGCATGCCTAACAGGATGCACATAAAATCACAAAATTTTATGACAAATCATAAAATGATTTAATTTTTCACCCAAAAGAAGTATTTAACTTTTTATTAATCACAAAAATTACAACTTGAATAACTTTAATATTGTCTTTTATACTATGACTTTAGTTTGAAAAATAAAGTACTTTATAAAAAAAAAAAAAAAAAAAAACCCCACTAAACTTTGGTTTAGCCCTAGCTGGTAATTCCCTGAAAAGAAAATTTGTGTCAGTTCATTGTATCAATGTTGATTTTCCATTTCTCATTGATATTATTCCTGTTCACAATAATGGTGTGCATTGGAGTTGTTCACAATGATTTTCTCTGAAAAATAAAGTAATTATAGTAAGTGTTATAATTTTGACATAATTACACTCTCAAAATAAGTTTTCTATAAATTTTGATCAATATAGTCATTTGCTAGCCAAATCGATAAAAAATGATAATGCTATCCGTCGTTAGACTATATGCTTATTTTAACCTTTTATTATACTTATGTTCACTCATCGTATGCATCCTAACACTCATATTCCATGTCCAAATAATACACACCGTCAAGGGAATGAGAGCAATTAAGTCCTTGAGTAGGTAAATGGGAGTGTAATTATGTCATTTGACATCAATACATATTTAAATACAAGAAATATTTAAGGGGTAATGTAATAATTTTATTAGTTCCGTTAAAAGTTATCATTACAGTAAGAATGACTATAATTTTCTCAAAATTGTGAACTGTAATTTTTTCATTACTCAAGAAATCTCATTGTACTTTACTTAATTTTCAAAAATCACAAGCAATAACTACAAACCATATCTCTAAAACATTTGTTAGTACAACAAAAATATGTCACCGGACCGTGACATATTTATTTATTATTTTTTTATATTTTTATATAAAAAATTTAAAATATAAAACGTTTTTTTAATAAAATTTAAACACTAGCCATCATCATAGTGAAATTGGTAAACTTTAACCAACTTAACATAACTAATTATTACTAGAAAATTGCTTGATAGCTTGAAATGGTTAGGCTTGAGTGGCCCGAAAAGTACTATTTTTCTCTCTCCTCTCTATCTCTTTCCTCTCCTTTCTTCTACTCTCTATCTATATTCTCGAAACAAAAACACTCTCATCACTCTCACCTCCGTTCCCTCATCCCTCTCATTTCCCAAATTTCTCTTATCACTTTCATCTCTGTTCCTTCATCCCTCTCATTCGCCAGATCTCTCTCATCTCTCTTATGATGAAGATCAAGAATCGAAACAGGACTTAAATTCTCCGAAACACACACGGGTTGCTGGACTTTCTTAGCTATGTTGTTTCGACTCTTTTTCTTGTTCCCAATCTTCGATTCACTCACTGTTTCCTTCTGATTCACATTCTTAACTCCACTTTTTTTCGCTCTCAAACTTTGATGAGGTTGTCTCTGAACAACAACCTTATTCTTACTGTTAATGTATATCCTAATTAATGTATATATATACTAATTAATGTATATCATTGTTAATGTATATCATAAATTAGGAATTAGAGTTAGATTAGGATTGTATCACTCTCCTATATATAGGAGCTCTTGTACATGGTTATTTAATTCAATAATACAGATACACAATTTTCCCTTTCTTTTAACAATTCTAACATGGTACCAAAGCATATTGAGATTGATTGTCACTTTATACGACAACATGTTACTAGTGGCACTGTTTGTCTTATCTTTGTTATCTCTGCTGATCAGACAACCGACATCTTCACCAAGGCTAATCCTCCTGGTTATTTGAGTGATCTAGTTTCCAAACTCAAGTTGGTTGATGCTTACCCACCTTGAGTTTTAGGGGAGCTGTTTATGTATATCCTAATTAGTGTATATATAGTGACAGAGGCGTGCGCGACGTATAGTAGCAGAAACGGTGCACGCGGGTGTATGGTAGCAGGAGCAGCGTGTGCCTCTTTTGCTAACGTGCACCGCGCACACTGTCGTCATCCACTTGTTGTTGACGTCATCTTTGGCCTATTTGTCATCTATAGGTCCATTTTTTGGCTATTTTTGGGCCAACTCAGTTGCTCTCTAGCTATTTTCAACGTTCCAGATTCACTGGGATACTCTGTTTCACCCAATTCTACTTCGACACTACTGGGCCCTCTTTGTGACTCATACTTTGATTACTTCATGGATCATTCAGATAGTTCTCCTCTCTACGATGGTTCTTCTGGATTCTCTGTTAGTCGACATGACTCTTCGATTCAGTTTGTCGAGGCTGTTGTTGCACCTGCCTCCTCTTCTACTCACACTGTTCATGATATTGAAGCTATTATGCAAAAGGTTCTTTCCACTTATGGTACACCTTCTACTGCTATCTCAGTCACCCCAGGTACCTCTTCATGGTATTTTGATTTGGCTTGTTGTAACTATATGACCTCTGACCCTACACTGTTTTCTTCCACTACATGTCCTTCTAATTTATCTAGCATTCATAATACTGATTGTTCTCAAATGCATATTAGTCATGTAGGTCATATTTCTACCTCTAATGTCTCTCTCCCTCACATTAATCTGATCCCTAATCTTACACTTAATCTTATCTCTATTGGTCAACTCTGTGATCTTGGCATCACTGTTCTATTTTCTTCAATTGGTTGCTCCAATTGGTTGTGTTGTGCAGGATCCGAAAATGGGACAAACCCTTGGGATAGGTCGTAGACATGGATGTCTATATGAGCTTATCCACCTTCGCATTCCTTCCTCCAGTCCTTCCAATGTTGAGACTACTGCCTCTGCTACTATTAGTTCCCCTCTTGCTTTGTGGCATTCTTGGTTAGGTCATGTGTCTTTTGGTCGTTTACACTCTCTAGTTTCAAGTAGTTAGTTAGGTGGTGTTTCAAATGGTAAAGTAGACTGCTTGTCTTGTCAACTTGCAAAACAACCTGCCTTGCCATTTACTACAAGTACCTTTATGTCTCATGCACCTTTTGATCTCATACACTTTGATGTTTGGGGCCCTTCACCTAATACCACTATGGGGGGGATCTAAATACTTTGTTATATTTGTCGATGATTTCACTCATTTTACCTGGTTATTTCTTATGAAATCTCGCTCTGAATTACACCAAATATACTATGATTTTTCTCACATGGTCAAAACTCAGTTTTCCTCTACTATCAAAATTTTTCGTATTGATAATGCTTAAGAATACAAAGAAACTCATTTTTTGATATTCCTTCGTCAAAATGGTACGCTTTCTCATTATTCTTGTCTTGGTACCTCTTAACAAAATGGTTGTGTTGAGCTCAAACATCGCCATATCCTAGACACTATTCATGCTCTTTTAATCTCTTCTTTTTCTTGTCCTGAACGTTTTTAGGGAGAAGCTGCTCTCACAGTAGTCTATACTATCAACCATGTCCTTCCCCTACCATCAATAATCAAACCCCATATGAGCGTCTGTATGGCGCACCTCCTACCTATATTAGTCTTTGTGTGTTTGGATGTGCTTGTTTTGTTATTCTTCAACCACATAAACATACCAAATTAGAACCTCGCGCCCGTTTGTGTTGCTTCTTGGGGTATGTGATTGAACATAAAGGTTATCATTGTTAGGATTCTCTTTCTCCTCATCTTCGTGTCTCTCGTCATGTAGTACTTCGGGAACACAAAATGTTCTCTTCTACATCTAAGTTTCATTTGTCCACTCCTCTCACTACACCATTCTTTACAGATCCATCTCTTCTATTTGATAAGCTTGATACAGACACTATTTCTGACATGATGACTCTGGCCCATCTTGAGGATTCTGCTCTGCCTCTTGGTCTTATTGCTCCACTCCTTGATCCTGAGCCAGCTTCTGTACGTGCTCCTACTCCACCTTTTAGTTCTGTTATCATTCCATCTCCTAGTGAGCCTTATACGTCCCTTGATTCCACTACATCATCTTCTACACCAGAGGTACCTCTTCATCATTCTACTCGGGTAACACAACCTTTTGTACTTTTTCATGATTTCATTGTTAGTTCTACTGCTTTTTCTTCTCATGAACCTACTTCCTATCAAGAGGCTTGGTCTAACCCTCTTTGGTAGCAAGCTATGAGTGATGAACTGTAGGTTTTAGATAAAACTCATACCTGGGATGTAGTTGACCTTTCACTTGGCAAGAGTGTTGTTAGTTGCAAATGGGTTTACAAGATGAAAACCCACTTTGATGGTTCCATTGAGCGTTACAAAGCTTGTCTTGTTGCTCGGGGGTTTACTCAAGAATATGAGATTGATTATGAGGAAACATTTGCTCTTGTTGCTCGTCTTACTTCAGTTTGTAGCCTATTTGCCGTTGCTGCTGCTCGTCATTGGAGTCTTTGTTAGATAGATCTTAAAAATGCCTTTCTCAATGGCGATCTCACTGAGGAAGTTTATATGCAGCCTCTTCCTGGTTTCTCAGTTCCGTCCACTGCTGTGCTTTGTATGGTTTGAAACAAGCTCCTCGTGCCTGGTTTGCCAAGTTCAGTTCTACCATTAGTGACTTTGGATTCTCTTCCAGTGCCTATGATTTTGCTCTGTTTATACGCAAGATAGAGTGTGGTGTTATTGTTCTTCTTCTCTATGTTGATATGATCATTACTGGGATGACACAGTGGGTATCTCTAGTCTCAAACAGTTCCTCAGTCGCCAGTTTGAGATGAAAGATTTAGGCTTGCTTAGTTACTTCCTCAGCTTAGAAATTTCTCATGATTCTTCTGGTTACTTTCTCACCGAGGCCAAGTATATCTTTGATCTCCTGACTCATGCTGGTCTTACCGATTGCAAGATTTCTCTTACGCCAATTAATCCTCAGACTCGTCTCATACATCTTGACGGTCACCTGTTGTTTGATGCTACCTTATATCGTCAACTAGTTGGCAGTCTTGTTTATCTCACAGTTACTCGTCCAGACATTGCCTATGCTGTTCACATTGTCAGTCAGTTCATGGTACCTCTTCGCTTTCCGCATTATGATGCTTTGGTTCACATTTTGCACTATCTCAAAGGAACTATGTTTCATGATCTTCTCTACCCAGCATACTCATCTCCACAGTTACACGCATTTTCTGATGCAGATTGGGCAAAGGATCCTACTGATCACCGTTCTACTATAGGATTCTGCTTCTTCTTAGGTGACTTTCTCCTTGTCTGGCGTAGCAAGAAGCAAACTCTTGTTGCTCGTTCTAGTACTGAGGCTGAGTATCGTGCTCTTGCTGACACTACTCAGGAGCTTGTGTGGCTTTACTGGCTTCTTTCTGATATGGGGGTTTCTCATTCTATTGCGATTAACCTTTATTGTGATAATCAGAGTGTTATTCAGATTGCCTATAATGATGTTTTCTATGATCGCACAAAGTATATTGAGATTGATTGTCACTTCATACGACAGTATGTTACTAGTGGCACTGTTCGTCTTATCTTTGTTATCTCTGCCGATCAGACAGCCGACATCTTTACCAAGGTTCATCCTCCTGGTCGTTTTAGTGATCTAGTTTCCAAACTCAAGTTGGTTGATGCTTACCCACCTTGAGTTTGAGGGGGGCTGTTAATGTATATCTTAATGAATGTATATATATCCTAATTTTCCTAATTAATGTATATATATCCTAATTAATGTATATCATTGTTAATGTATATCATAAATTAGGAATTAGAGTTAGATTAGGATTGTATCACTCTCCTATATATAGGAGCTCTTGTACATGGTTATTTAATTCAATAATACAAATACTCAATTTTTCCTTTCTTTCAACCATTCTAACACTTATGATCCAAATTAACATTGTCAACCTTCGAAGAACAATTTCCACATAGCCTGTTTGGCTGATCTTCCTTTCTCTTGTTTTCAAACTCTCTCTTTCTTAAATTCTCCGTTTCTCTCTGCTTTCATCTCTTTCTGCTTCAATTCTTTTAAACCCATGTCAGAACTCAAACCCATTTTGTTCCCTCAATTTCAACATACTTTCTTGAAGCACAAAACAGAAAAAATAAAGATTTTGCTTTTGTTGTTGTTGTTGTTAAAGAAAGGTTGGAACTTTGCGAAACAATAGTGATGTTCTGACTCGGCGATGGTGGAAAAGAGTGGGATCGAAATCTGGGAAGTAATCGACGGAATTGACTGATCTGCTATGAAGAATGAAGGAGTGTTTTGGAATCAAGTTGAGGTCTGGGAGTAAGTCTAGACCCATGAGTCTTGTGACTACTCCTGGGGTCTTAACTTGGGTTTTGAAATCTATTTTTGGGTTTTCGAAGGTGGTGGTGGTGGTGGGATCGGATGGGAGTATGCCGAAAAAACACTTGGATGTGGAATTCTGTGACTCGGTCATGTTTGAGAGAGAGAGAGAGAGAGAGAGATAGAGAGAGTTGAAAAGTCAAATTCGGGCCACTCAAGTCTCGACTATTTCGAGCTACTAGTGGGATTGTTATTACTAATTTATTTACTAATATAAAATATATATCATATTTATTGTTGTATAATTTTTTCAAAACCGTAAATCGAACAGAATCGAACCAAATCTGTTTCTATGGTTTGATTCTGATCCAGTTTCATAGGTTAACAGTTTAGGGTTTAATGGTTTCTGGAATCGTAAAAAAGGGTTCGATTCCTAATTTAATCTAAAATCGGACCAATTCAATCTGTGTACACCTCTACTCATAAGGGGGTTCAAAAAAAGTTGCTCTGATATTGTCATTCTCAAACTCTCCTGGGTAATTGGATCGGGAACCAATTGGCTTGATGTTATCCTCTTTGAATTAAAGGACATTCACCACTTCTTAATGCTTTGTTTGCTGAGAAACCTAAGGCTAGTATTGATGGAAGACATAGTTTTTAGGGTTAATTACACATAATACCTTTGTATTTTATTAAAATCTCACTTTAATTCTTTTAATTTTAATTATAATAGTCAACTTCTTATACTTTAAGTCAAGTTACAATCTCATCTTTTAATTTGTCTACCGTTAACAAAGTTGACGAAACTTATTATTTGAAGCATATTCTGACATTTTTATTCTCTCATTAGTTTTTTTACACTTTAATCAAAATCTCACTTTAATCTCGCAATTTTAAAATCCCGTTAGCATTATTAACTGTAGATGGATGGAAAGATGACATTGAAACTTGATTTAAAGAGTAAGGGATTAATTGTTATAATTGAAAGTAAATAGGTCAAGGTGAGATTTTGATAGTAATTGTAATTTACTCTAGTTTTTAATATATATATATATATGCACTGTATTGTTTTGCAATACAGTTTGGCCAATGGATGAATTAATCTTCTCACACGTCCCATTTCTCAAAGATTGTCCAAGTTCAAGGTCACCCGTGACAGAAAGGTACCCTCCTTAATTTTTATTTTATTTTTTATTTTCTAGAAAGTAGAATTGTTTGTTATATCTATAACCTGGTTTGTTTCTGATTCATCCTTAATTTTTATTTTATTTTTTATTTTCTAGAAAGTAGAATTGTTTGTTATATCTATAACCTGGTTTGTTTCTGATTCATCCATGTGTGTGCCTCTGCGGGAAAAAAAAAAAAAAAAAATTGTCTGGAGCTTGTTTTATTTATCTTGATGTTAACAACCCCAATAAATTTCATTTTACTTCTCAAATTATTTCTCAAAAATTAATTAGATTTTTTTTTTTTTATCTTTTGAAGTATATCAATTTTACTACACGTTAGCTATTCGAATTGGGATAAATTTGAATCCTATCACATGTCGTCTACAATTAGATAGAATCTAACCTGATCCTGACTCTTTTTTGGAGGAAAAAGTGAAGTGTTTCCATCTATATTTGACAATCATATATGTGAGAAACACTCCCAAGTGTGAATTATATATTAGGTTTCCAAATTGAAATTAACCATATATGTGAGAAACAATCACAGTGTGGATTACGTCAGGGTTCCAAATCGAAATTAGGATGTACACAGGCAAGAAATACTTTATCTTTGAGGTCAAATCAACAGATTTGATTTGATTATAGACCACAGAGGTCAAATTGATCCTAATTTGAATAGTTCGGGTATAAAATTTATATAATTAAAAGGAAAAGGGTCAAATTAATTTTTGAAAATAATAGTTAAGGTGTGGTACAATGATTGATATTTTTTTTTAGGTGTAAACAAGTGTATTAGAAGAAAGGAGAGACCATATTTAAACTATGTGAGAAGACCTAAAGGAGGAAGGAGAATTGAGGGCTGTGCTTTGTATTTTGTAAGATGTGCTTCCAAGTTCTGGGCTTCAAAAGCTTCTAATTATCAGCTTCCTGTCGTGCGGGAATTTGTTGGGAAACATTCTATGTTTTGTAAACATAACAAGCTCAAGAGAGATTAAGACTGTGTTTGGATTATGAATTTGAGCACAAATTTAGAAACATAATTATATTTCACACATTTTTTCTTTTCCTTTTCAAATTTTTACCCTAATTCATAATCTAAATACAGTCTGAAGCTCAGTTCGAGCTCAGTTTAGCCTTTACTCACAACATATATGCCAGAACCTATTTCAATGCATTAGTGTACAAGATAAAGCAAACATTGAAAACTGAAATGTTTATTCTTAAGCTTTTGATTAAAATCCACGGAAACACTAATTAAGATTGAATTTTGTACTAAGTTATTATTAACCAGATGAATACGAGCACACAGAATTGTGGAATGTATTATTATTATTATTATTATTATTATTATATCTTGTCTACTGTAACAAAATTTGAAAATTGTTAGCAGATGAGGTTTGGATTATGGACCAGCACTAATTCTTCTCCCTGGGGCTACTTCTCTAATTGGGATTTTTCATTGAAATGTTGTTTTCAACCTGCAAAAACTTGCTAGTTCCAATCTGGTTTATGTAAACTGGAGCTTCATTTGATTATTCTGGAGCTTGAAGGTTTGATGCTCAGTGATTTTTCAATTCGATTGGGCAAATTGAAGCAATTCTGTTAGAAGATCACTCTTACGAAAAGAAAGAAAAGTTCAATTTTTTTTCTTCTCCGGTTGGTATGAGTAAGAAGAGTCTCTTCTCATCTTATTAGCATTATATAAAAAGAAGGGGATGTTATTATGTGCATGCCTAAAAAGGATGCATATGCTATGTCAAAATTTTGTGACATAAATCATAAAATGACTTATTTTTTTTTTCACCAAAAAAACGTATTAATTTTTACTCATCACAAAAATATAATTTGTCAAAATTTTGTGACGTAAATCAGCCCTAGCTGGTACACTGCCCCCCAAAATAAAAATTGCATCAGTTTATTTTTTCAATGTGGTCATTACATTCTAAATTTTTGTTTATTTTTTCTATCGGTACATCTTAGATTACTGACAAGTGTATCGAAATTATTAAATTTAACCTCCAATTTGAATGAAAAAAACTAAATTGAAACTAGATTTAAGCTATAGGAATCAAAATTTTCAATTTGAAAATATAGAGATTAAAGTGAAATTTTAATCAAACTATAATGTTATGTTTGGTTGGGAGATTTGGAGAGGGATTTGGAAAGGGAAATGGAAAAGGTGTGTGAAATTAGGTGAAATGTAAGTATATTTTATTCACATTTCACTTACATTTTCCATTTCTATTTCTAAATTCCTTATCAAATTCTCTCAAATTCCCCAACTAAACACAACTTAAGGATTAAAAGTATAATTAATCCATGCATGAGTAATACTCACTGTTGGCATCATTTATTAGGTAAGGGGGAGTGTAATTATGTCATAATTACACATTTAAATACAATATCTAGGAGGAATATAATAATTTCATTATATGGTTTGGATTATCGAATGGAGACCCGCGCTCTACAGCACGCTCCAATCCTTTGTGTGGACTGGAGAAAAGCGTCTCCCTTATCTATATGGTTTGAAGTTATTGCTTGTGATTTTTGACAATTGAATGAGATTTCTTGAGTAAAGAAAAAACTATATTGTTTGAAGTTATTGCTTGTGATTTTTGAAAATTGAATGAGATTTCTTGAGTAAAGAAAACCTATATGGTTTGAAGTTACTGGTTGTGATTTTTGAAAATTGAATGAGATTTCTTGAGTAAAGAAAACCTATATGGTTTGAAGTTATTGCTAGTGATTTTTGAAAATTGAATGAGATTTCTTGAGTAAAGAAAAAGTAAACAAAAAGGGATTTGTTAGTACAACAAAAATCTTAACACTACTATGTATATGAAACAATTGAACCTTAATTCTACAATTTCACAATCTTCAAATTTTCTTACTAATACATAAGATCATCCTGTTCTTATAGGAATTTCCATTTCAATTGATCGCAAGACCACAAAATTTTCTGGAATTTCCGAGGGACTCACCAACTCCTACTTCTTCGAGCTCCACACATCTCGTGTGCCATCAATGGTTGGAGCTCTCCCCAGAGTTCTAGTTCCTCCATTATGGATGTACTGTGCAAAGCTAACCATCTTGCTCCACAAACTCCTAATGCTCGGAGTAGTAATGTTGCCTTGGCTTGCTTGAACGTGATTCCAATAATTCTTTAGTATGTGAATTAGGAAAAACATAAAACAGATGATGGAAGTGATGCCGGAGATGAGGTATAGACCCCAGAAGCTTTGGAGGTTCAAGCTATCTACTTTGTGGCAGAATCGGCATTTGAATAATTATTGGAGGACACCTTAGACCACTTTTCTCGTATTTTTTTTTAGATCACCTGTTCTCTGATATGGTTAGAATGGTGTAGACACCTCATTTTTTACGGCCCTTACAACTTGGACATTATCGCCTGCACACCCAATTATGAGTCTATATGCTTGTCAAGTGCTTGAAGTCCTCAGCGGAATGCTACAGCTTTGAGCCTTTCAAACCTTGCACCCTTGTTGCCCTGTTTTGGACCAAACCCAGTGATCTTCAAGCCTACAACCTTTGGTGGCCTGCCGGCCACCTTTAGGGGCTGCCGGCCATCACTCTTGGTTGCCGGCCACTAGTGATGGCCGACCGGCCACAAATGTCTTTTGTAGATATTTTGTGACAGTTGTGCTAGCTGTTTTCACAGATGCTTGCATTTGCTCCCACGCGTATGGTTGGATGTTCTTGAGGGAAATTCATGTTTTCTATATATAGAGAGCTTCCCCTTTTGCCATGGGGTTAGAAAAATTTTGGAGCAAAATTTTTCCTCTCTCTCTCTCTCTCTCTACAATTCTTTTTCCCTACCAAATTTCTTAGTCTTTGCCTATATACTCTTCACCTTTGCCTATACACTCTTAACCAAATCTCTCTATCTTCAAGTTGAGGTGTCATTGAGCCTTGTTTGAGCTCTTGAGGGTGTGTTTGCTTGGTTTTATTGCTTGGAATTGATTTCCTCTTCAAAAGGTATAAAGCATTGCCTCTTTACTTGCTTTATCTACTCTTTTTCTTGCAATTTTCAATTGTTTTTGGGCTATAAAAACTCTGTATTTTTGGGTTGAAACTTGGATTTTAAGGCCAATAAAGGTTGAGGGGTGGTTCACCATTCTTTTCACCTTGCTCTCAAGGCCTTTACCTTTGAGTTTCCCACATTTGCGCTATCTTTTTTTGATTTTTTAAACACTGATTGTTAGAGGTATTTCAGTGGCCAAAATCATGTTTTGAAGTCCAAAATTGGAGGGGTTAGCCTCCCCTCCTTGTGTTTTGCTTACCAGCCTAGCTTGTGCTATATTTTAGCTTATTAATCTAGCCATTTTTGTCTTAATTCCAGCATGTTTTAGGACTATTTTTAGACTATTTTAACACTATTTTTTAGTGTTCGTTGCATTTGAGCTTTGTTTTGCATGTTTGTGGTGTAATTATCCTCATGAGTTTGGTGTTTTAGGCCTTAGACACCATCTTATTTGAGTTGATTGCATTTATTTATGGCTTTCCATACTTGTGATCACTCTTAATCATCTCTGCAATCTCCCTCCTTTCTTGGCTTTTGTTTTTCTATGAAAGTGGTTCAAACTACTTGTTTGTTTAAGCATGAGATTGAGATGTCATGCTTAATGGTTTAATCCCTTTGGGGATTCATTACCAACGGTACGGCGTCTTTTTCATGCCCAAAGCAACTCTTGGTTTGAACCCTCTTTCCATTAGAGGACTTAAATTCACTTTTGGACTCAATTGGTTAAAGAATGGTTGGTAATTAAAATGGGAATAAAATGGTGCAAGATAAGAATTTGGTTTTGTGTTCAATCGGACGTTAATTGAACACATGGAAGCTTGAGGCATTTCATACTCATTAGTGATGAAATAGTTCAAGTTTCCAAGGTCACCACTTCCCTTGATCAATTCATGAAAGGAAGGAGGTTTGTGTCTTGTTTTGTTGCATTTATTGAACTTGCACACTTTGGTTCATAGGCCATCATGCAATGAAATTGCTTTCATTGATGGTTTGTGAACCAAGCTTACTACTCCTTTGATTTGTTTATGATAAAGAGGGGTGAATTGTGCAAACAAACCATTGAGAATACCCTATGTATGCTCTATTTGTTCTTTGTTGCAACAAGATGAACTGTGCAATAGTGGCCAGCAAGCCATCACTGGTGGACGGCAGGCCATCAGTCCTGGCTGGCCGACCACCAATGCAAAATCCAGCAGTGTGTTTTTTGAGTAGAGCAGAGCTATTCTGGAGGTAGACAAAAGTGTAAGTGTTCTACTGTGCAACAGAGATCTTCTGGAAGCAAAACAGTGGTCTTTTCGGGTGAAAACCGAGCACGTGCATGAGCATTCCTCGTATATCGAGCATGTTTAAGTTTAAATATTTAGCTTAAATATTTGTTAAAATTAATTAGTTGTAGCTAGTTAATTTTGTAAAGTGTTGTAATTAATTAGTTAGAATAGCTAATTTATTTAGTGTTGTAATTATTTTAATTAGCTAGATTAGTTAATTAATTAGTTCATTTGGTTTGTAATAATTAGTTAAGTAGTTTAGCTAAATTATTCATTTGTTGTTGTAATAGCTAGTTAATTATTTTAGCTAATTGGTTAGTTTATTCGGACCCTCCTGTGTGAGGGCGCAATATTGTAATAATGTATACGTCTTCCAACGTGTTTCTCCATTTTATTTACTAGCTTATGATGGTTAGTTTAGGGACATTATGTTTTGTTTAGCATACTTCATGTTTGCATCCACTTGTATTGCATGCACCAAGGCTCGGTTTATCATTCTAACTTGTATTGTTAGTTTAAATACTTCTTTGAATATGTGCTTAGACCACATGTTATCAAATTGATTCATATGCCATATTAGTAGCCGAGCCTAGTAATTTCATATTGTATGTGTTGCATTAGTCATATCGTATAGTTAGGAATCATGCATCTTTCTAACTTTATCATCTTTTTGGCTTGGAGTACTAGGTAAGCCTTTATTTGCTTTGGCATATCGCATGTATGTGAATGTTGCCATATCAAGCATGCTTACCATGAGGCTAAGTGCTTAAATGATAAATTGCTTGAATGTCTGTGAATGGAGGCTAATTGCTTGAATTGGAATAATTTGAGTAATGTTTTTATGCGATCACTTTTTCAAGTGGTACATATTCGAAATAATTTTTAAAACAAACATGAATCGAGATGTTCTACTTCTTGCAATTTAGTCTATACTTGTGTGTGTGCGCATCACATAGTAATGCTAGCCTAATAATCGGAACAAGAGCATATAATGTACATAAGATTCATATCATGATTAGTAGAGGCCGATCTTTGATCGGGTGAGTGGGGGTGCTCAATTCATGACCTTCCCCTCTAGTACCTAAGTTCCAGAGCCGAGACAATCTTGGTGATGATGGACATGTGGCCTTTGGCACGAGTCATGGGTTTCCTAAATTTCTTCAAAAAATATTTAGGTGGCGACTTTGTATCTGGCAAAGCAGTCCATTTTTAGCAATTTGATTCAAAATCGATTTTCAAAAGATTTGCCAGATTGGGACTCTTTGGTGTTTATCTATTTCATATTGCACTTGTGAGATTAGATTCAGAACCGCGAGAGTTTGATATTGTAGGGCTTATTTGACTCCCGAGAGGGGGTGCGAAAAAGCCGAGCTACAAATGGCTTTGGACACATCAATGGCAATAGGAGAGCCTTTTTGGAATGTCTATATGAATCCCAAGGATCAAAATTTTGATTCAATATATTGTTTTTGAAGCAAAGAAAGACAAATATTTTTCAAAAATGTTTTAGCCATTTGGGTGGAAATAAAATGAAATCTTGTTCTTTGGTAGCATCATAGGGGCCACAGTTTTTCCTACAATTGGCCTACTTGTTTATCTTTAATACACATGTTATAATATGATGAATTTCATTTGGGTAAATTATACTAATAGTGTTTGAATTTGAGTAAAATTTCACTTTGGTCTGTACAATTTTAATTTTATTAATTTAAATCTCATACTTTTGATTTTATTTCAATGTGATCCCCCATCTGTCAGCTGTCGTTAACATTTTATATAGAAAAACAACACGTGCAAAACTAGAGGGACCCAAGTGAAATTCAAAAGAAAATATAAGGACTACCAATATAAATTATTAATTTTTCTTTCTCAAGAATTGTTAAAATTCTCAAATGAGTTGCACATGGCATTTTTTCGTTTAAAATACTAACGCTTACTAACAGATGGATCACATTGAAACATAATTGGTAGTGTGAAGGAAATTGAGAAACTTCATTCAAACTAGAGGAACCAACAGTGTAATTTATAGTATACTTTGGGCCTGTTTGTTTTCAGAGTTTGGTTGGGTAGGATTGTTAGTGAGGGGGCTAAGAAAAATTGTGTTTGTTTGTGATATATTTTAGTGAGGGGATTAACTATATGAAATACCATAAATACTCTTTGGTGTTTTTGATATATTTTAATATTAAGAAGTCATATTTTATAAATATTTTATATATATATATATATATATGTATATATAAATGGATTAAAAAATACTTAAAACCCAAAAAAAAAAAAAAAAAAAAATACATACAAAAAGCATACAACATGGATAAAATAGTATTTTTCCAAGCTAGTCTCCTTACTAGTTTTGAAACCCAACCCTTGGTGTGCTAACCCTACTCTATGTTATGGTAATTGGTCCTAATTGTGCTTATAATTATGGGCTTGATATGATTTTGAATGCTGATTTTATGATTATATGTGTGTTTGAATTTCTATCTGTTTACCGTAGAAAAATCTATTTGATTTTTTGTTATAAAATTTAAATTGAAGGCCGTAGAGGCGTCATAAACCAAAATTGACTGTACCAATGTGATTAGCATAATTTTTAGAGCCTACAGTGAAATTTAATTAAAAATTTATTCGGATCAAAATAATTGGATTAAATTGATTAATTTAAGCCTAGTTAATTGGCCTTAATTAAGTTGATTAGCCAAGTGTATATATATAGGCCTTTTAACACCCAAGCTCATTCTTTTTGAGCTCAAAATTTCCAGACATACACTCCAGAGAGAGAGAGAGTACACGGTTCTAGAGAGAGAAGAAGCTCAAATTGTGGATTTTGGCTCAAAGTTTGGAATCTTGGAAGCTAAACTCAAGAATTAGCTAATTTTGGAAGGGTTGAAGCTTCTAGGTGAGTAATTAGACATGAATTCATGAGTTTGAATTATCATTATGTGAGCTCAAGATAAAATTGTGCTCAAGAACATGGATTGAGTTGAATTTGATGAATTTGTAGTCAATAGAACCATGCATGTAGAAAATTGCCATGAATTTGTGTAATCAAGCATGTAGCATGTTAATTATGAAGAATTGAGTATCAAAACTTACATGCATGCATAATTTTGTTGAGCTTTATGGCTTTGAACATCATTTGTACCTTTTGGAATGATATTGGAGTTAATGAATTACGTGCATGCCCAATTCATGAAGATATGTAACTTGATTGCATGAGCTTGAAGAACTTGAAATGGTTTTGGAAATTTGGGAGATGAACCATGATTTTTGAGCAAGTGATTTCAAGTATCCAAGTGCCTTTATGTCATACTATATTTGTCTATATTCTTTTTCTTGGCATCAATCTACAGCTTTGGAGCCTCTGAAGATGTGTTTTGAGCTTCAAACAGAGTTCTGGAAAACTCAGAATTCAACTTGTCCGCTCGAGCGGGGAAAATGCCGCTTGAGCATAAAAATCAAGCTCCAAGAAGTTTTGCAGAAATTGTGCTGTCGCTCGAGCGACAAAGTGTACGCTTGAGCGGACCCTATTTTGCAAGACTTCTTGCTTGAGCGTCAGAAGTGTCGCTCGAGCGTAAAATACACATAACTAGTACTTTTGCAGGCCAAAGGGGTCCACTCGAGCAGCCAAAGCTGCGCTTGAGCAGGGAGCCCTGTTTCAGAAAATTTGAAAAGACGCTTTATGTTTCGTTTTCCGTTCTCTTTCATTTTAAAGCACTCTTAGGCATGCATTA